AAAAAAGATAAAAAAAAGGAGGTGGACAAAATCTTCAGGGTGATACCAAACCTAACATGAAGGGATTATGAAGAGGTGAAGTAGTTTTTGTCGGAATGACAAAGCAGTGCATCCGGTTTTATGCACACCTAAGCAACCCGCAGGCTGTGTCTTGTAAGCCGCATGATGTCCTCCTGTATTTGATGCTGTACACTTTGCATGACAGGTTGCCAAGGTAACCTGTATGCTGTGCCTGCATACTTCCATTGTACTTGATTGAGATGTACAGATGCCAGATCACATGGCCCGGAGGGGTGACATTGTACCTGATACCCTTGTGACATGTAAGGGTGCTCGGCCCCCCTACCTGTGAGTGAAAGAGGGGTGTAACATGTAACACAGAGGGGTTACATGTACCCAAGCCTGCTCCTCAGGGTAATTTTGGCCCTGGAATCCCTTCCTGGAGCCATCTTTGTTGTTATATTATTGTATATACAAAAGAATATATTTTTTTTTTAAGTGTTGGATGGGAACCCATAAAGTATCTCACACCAATTAAGGGAATGGGCAAAGGGGACAGGGTCGGAGGGGAATGGTGAAATGAGGCGGTGAATAAAAGAAAGCACAGTGAGAGGAGGTGTTGTGTTGGGGGTGAATCAAGTCTAATTAATGAAAATTTGTAAATAGAAATGAAGTCCAATCAAGGCATTTTTTTTTGGGGGGGGTTGTTCCGGATATGATTGTGATATTGTAGATTTTCCAGAATGAACATGATGACACACTCAGAATCAGAGGTGGTGAAGTAATGTGGAATTACTTGAGCCGGTGGAGGAGCAACGGATCCAGGTTTGTGGAGATTGGGTAAGATGTAGGGACAGATAAATTGAGGCGCGGAATGGTTGTTGGATGACTGGAACTGGCGGAGGGACCCGGATCCGGATGGAAATGGAACATACATAGGTTTTGGGATATGGGAATCAGCTGGTGTGGGGTGTGGGCAGAGGGGTATATAAGAAGTTGAGTTGGGAGAGTGATAGTGGTTGAGAAAGATCAAGGACCAGTCCAAAACTATGTGTAGGGTATTGAATACTTACCTCTTGTCCCTATATTACTGAGTTGTGAGGCAAGTCTGATATCAAAAATTGTACCTGTGGAGGGTACCTGTGGAGGCCAGGTCTTGAGGAACAGAGTGCCAGGTCTTGGGGAATTGCTGCCTGCAAAAACAGGGGTTTGGCAGATTTCTCTGTTTTTAATTTTTTAAACTGAGGCTGTCTTTTTTACACATAATTTTTCTCAGTGGCATTTTTCAAGAAAAGCAGAAATAAAATGGATCTATTCCCAAAGGAAATAACTTGAATTTTTACAAGCTCTTGATGTGAACAGGCCAAAATCAGTTTTACTGTAATTTCATAAAAAAAACCCACAGAGAATTAAAGTGGATTAAACTCAACCCCAAATTTTATTTATTAATAGTAATATAGCTGATTGGCCAAAACAAGACCATTTTTGTATTTATTTTTTATATCCACCTCGACTTCCTTTACTCTCATCAAGTTAAACCTGTGAGATCTAGAAGATAGCTTCAGAAATGGTAGTGTTTAGAGGTAGGAATTTCAGGCTCCTTTTGGCAGTCCATATCATAAAATGACATTGGAAAATTCTGCAGATTGTTTTGGGGGATCATATTTATGGCCATAACCAAAATTTGTGTTTGACTGGTCACACTATATCCAACTACAACACCATGTTGAGACAAACAGGGGAGAGAATGACTGAAGTTCACAGATGGAACATCATGTGACACTTAGGATTGAGAAAGAAAACATATGGTTCTGATTCACTGAAGAAGAAAGTACCAGACTAATCTATAGAGGAACTATGTACAGGATTTGTCTGTTGATTTTTGTTGAAGAATACCTTGCTACAAGCATATTATTCAACACACCAAAAATCCACTGTAATAAGTTGAGGATTGTCTAGCTGCATGATAATTGGTTTAAGGCTCATCAACCTTATTATATTTATCTGGATTTACATATTTTTACTTATGATATGATGGACTTCCAAATGGAGCCTAAAAAGCAGTAAATGTTTCTTCAAAGGAAACATCTGAAATATTGCATTGAACTGTCCAAGTGATTTGGAATATAATTCAAAATGGAAAGATAAAGCAGAGTGACAAGAGAAATAACCAAGTAGGGCTTGGGATCCAATTTCCTTTAATTGATTGCACTGAGAAAAATAGGTAGAGTGGGTTTTTTCATGGGATCAACCAAATGGAACAGGAGATCCAAGGATTCAGCGTAAATAAATGCAGTAGTTGTGTGAACTCCAAGACACATATCCAACAAAATCCAAGGTTTAATTGAATTTTATTTTCAGTTTTAGGAAATAGGTGGCAACAATCAGCCTTAACTAACTGCCTTGGCGTTGAGGTTTTGGTGAAAGACCTTGAAAGACCACCCTTTCGGGTGCTCTACATAGCTGACAAGCAAAGGTGGGCGCTGAGCGCCACGCCGCGCGAAAGTGGGACTTGAGTGCGCGGCGACTGGGGGACACGAGAGGACCCTGGAAACCCCCGAACTATGTGGGTAACCTAAATGTATGAATTTTTCAGAAAAAAACAAAAATCATACTCACGAAAGTGGTATGAATCAGTTTGGTTGCCTGAAAGGTTACTCACCAAACAGGCTCTAAATGTATGAATATCCGCTAACTTGGGGGAAAACCCCCCAAAAATGGCCCGGTCCCCGCCTCTTCCGGGGAATTTTCTCACTTTCCGGGGAATTTTAGCCCGAGCATACTCACGAAATATGTATGAATGGGCCCAAATATGCTATTCCCCGGTGCCCCCCGATGTATGAATTTAGTCAAAATTCCGGTTTTTTCGTTACCCACATTTATGGGGGGTTTCCAGGGTCCTGACACGAGCTTCCACTTGCAGGATGCACATCACTTCAGTCTGCTCCAAATTTGACCACCAACCATCCCTGGACTCACGAGCCAATCCCGACAGCAGAACCTCAAGAAGCACCCAGTCCTCTGATATCCCTCATTGAACCCGCGCAATACTGGTTGCGAAGATTAAATGAAGGTCGCCACTTACACAGATCGATGATCGAGAATTATAACCTAAGCCAAATTAGAGTACAGTCGCCCTCTCTAATGAGTTCGAAACTCGCTAGTTTTTTTTTTCACTAACACGAAAACAACGAACGAACAAGAGCGACATTTGGGGTGGCGACTGGATGATGTTGAAACAATGGAATGGACTACGATAGATCTCCTGGAGTGAAGCCTTCAAATTAATCAACCATGACCAGTCTCTACAGCGTTGAGAGTCCTAGAGGAGCAGTTGGATGATCTGGAAGGTTTGTTTTTGGCTCTGCGTTGGGTGTTATAGCCTCTGTGTGTTTGGGGATTTGGCTGGGCAGCAATGATGAAAAGCATAGCATCTGATATCCTTTGTCATGATTAGCCTGTTGTGAAGTTATGGTCCATTAGGTCATCAACTCCTTCAGACAGTATGTTTTATGTTTCTGAGCTGCCTACCTGCGTAACCATTTCCGATCGAACCAGTAATAACGATTCCAGAATAGATGCTGTGTTGCAAAAAAGCACGAGCAAAATAAAGTCCATTTTATTATTTGAATCAATCATTCTCCACAATATTACTGATGCTTCCGCTCCTCAAACACGAACTCTGGTATGTATGCTCCTACTTAGATATATTTGATTGCGTCACATCTTTTGCTGGTTGGCGACTGCCATGTTGACTTGTGTTCATCTAAAACCTCAATCGATGTAATATTAAAGCTTTGTCCTAGAGTTCTTCTCGTGAGACTCGTACATAATTGCTAGCGATTAGCAACACGAGACGCTTGAACGCTTCACTTGCCAAACCAGTAATTCTCACTCTGGAGACAAATAATTCAGCTTGAATACTATGCTTACATATTTACTTGTTTCCCATTGCCTTGATCCGGGCGAAAATCCGAGAGAAGTTGGAAACCCCGTCTAAAAGCTGACCGTAGGACTGCGGTATTTTCGGCAATATTTCCAAAACTTTGTTTGGGTGTATAGACTATACATAGCCAAAGCAAATCATCAGACACTTGCAGTTTATGATCAAATGACTCATCATGAGTCATAGTCACTTTTATGATTCCGTTCAAAAACGTGGACCCGCAGCAAATGTTGGCAGAACGTGAGCTGTATGATTCAGAGTTTCCCCTGTAAAAATGAGAAACATTGGGATTTCAAGTGATCCGCCGGTTGGGGTTTTGCGGTTGCCTCACACAGGTGCGAGCGAGGCCCAGTTGATAAGGCAGCCAATCGGACTCCTTTGGAGTGCATCCGTGACCTTCACATTTCTCGTGTGCACTGTGCAGGCAGCCCGCATCTGACTTCATATCATTCAATGGTCCGCTCCTCGCATATCAAGAAAGCCATATCCATGCTCGGTGGTACTCTTGCAACTTCTCATGAGCAACTATTGTTGTTCTTGAATCTGATTGGTATCGCTACCCTCGCCACTCTTGTGACCGACTTGGTTCAGGAAGGCCCCGGTTCCGGTGGTTCTCGCGAGGGAACTCTTCTCATGCTAGCTGGAAAGCAACATCTGAACAGGGTACACGAGCCTGGAGAACATGAGATCAGCGAATCCAAGAGTTGTTTTTTGGTCGGTTCAGAGCCAAATGTGGCAGCTGGAGAAGAGAACTTGAATATGAATTTTTCTGAGAAGCAAGATCAAAAATGGGTAACTGAAGGTATTAAAAGTGAGATAGATGAGCCGTAAGTGGGAGAACTATTTCTTCAGTTTCACATAAATCTCATGGATGATGGTAACTAATACCATGTGATGAATTTTAGGAATCCGGCACATCTTAAATTCATAATTTCAAAACAGAAAGTCAAAAGTACAAGAAAGGGGAAGAAGAAGAAGCAGGCAAAGATTGAATCCAGTGCTGCTTGTGATCAAAAGTCAGGGCAATTGCCTGATAGGCACCTTCCAGAGGCCCCTGATAAGGTCTTGGACAGGGTAAAAAAAGGAATTGCTGAAGTGCAACAAGCTTTCACAGAGCATTCAAAAGAGCACAAGACTGAAGTTGCTGCAGAGGTCTCCAAAGTGTTCATTTTGACTGAGAAAGACCTTGAGTCGCGTATGAGGAATTTCTATGCTTCAAGAATCAAGGCTGCTTTCGATCCGAGAGAAACAGACCAGGACGGTGAGATATTTCCCAAGGTTATCAAACCATTGTGGGCGCATGCCATACACACACCAGAATGCTCCAGGTTATTAGAAAAAAGCATTCAAAATGTAAGGATGGAGGCAAACAAAAGAGAAGTTGATACAAGTTCCTGGTATAAAGAAAGCTTGAGAAGCATACTAGAAATTTTGGAACCTCATTTGCAAACTACCAATCGCCAAAATCATCTTTCTCTTTCAGAGTTGGATGATACGATGTACAGGAATCTACAGGTACTTTGGAATTCCAATCCAGAAGCATTTTTTCAAATCGAACCAATTCTTGCATCCAGACTAAGCAAATATGAATTGCACAGGAGGCTTTCAACCTTAACCAACCAAATCATACAAAAGACAGCAATTGAGAACTGGAAGCTGATCAGCAAGGCATTAGGCGATAAAGGTAGTAAACGTCGAGTTAATCAGTTCTTAAAATCTCTTCAGCAAAATTTTGAGCTCGACCACGAATTCCCAGATACACTTAATTGCTTTGAGCTGTGGTCCAAAATCCCAACAATTTTCACAAATATACTAGGCAAGACTAAATACGATTCTTCGAGCTTGATTATGACAATTTTAGGCCCTTTTGAATTCAGGAGGCGATTCAACTTTGAAATTTTGGACCATGAATCCTCTGACTTGAAGTTAAACTTCAAGCCACAGACTGAGTTACCATTGAATGTTATGGAAGACCTTCACTTTTCAGAAAAATATAAGGGAGTAAATGTTTGGAATGTGTGCTGCATTGTCCGTTATCTTGGTCTGGGAAATTCAAAGCGTTTTGAAGACTCTTCAGACCATGACCTCTCGGCTGATTTTGAAAGCGTTTTGAAATTGTTGAATTGCAAAACGTACTGGTATGTTCCTTGGTTTGAGTCGGCTGATCGAGCCTGGTTGACCAAGACCTACAGCGAGTACCAGCAGCGGTTGAAGGATTTATGCGTAGAGCACCAAAAAAGATTCACCAAATCAATCAAAAGGCAGAAGGAGAAGGGAGGGCAAATTGAGAAGAAATTTCTGAATTTTTACAGGGAAGATCAAGTGTTATTCTATGACCTAGCAATGCCTCCACATGTCTTGAACTCACTTGAAGAGCTGCGAGCAGTCAACACCAAGTTCAAAGGGATTTCAACCCTGACAGATTGGGAATCAGTTTTTGAGTCTTCCCCTTGGAAATTCAATTCTTTACAGCAGGAGTTTATTCAAACTTGGTTTGATCAGAACTAAGAGGAGAATCCTTCTTTTGATATTTTTGATCTGATGTATTAAATCTTGGCCCTGATAGACTACAAACTGACTCAATTCTTTGTAGAATGAATCATAAAAACACGAGAATCATAGATCTTGGCCCCCAAAGAATACAGGTCAAGTAATAGTAAATAGTTTGTAAATGAAGATTCAGAAATGTGACTATCTAGTGTTCAAGTATTGAGATGTGCAAGCTTTAGATCTGGTTCTTTAATTATTACCAATCAATTTTTTTTTTTTGGGGGGGGAAGTCTTCTGGGCTCCAGAGTATACTATCAATGTAAATACTTTGAAATTTTATCCTTGTGGCAACGCTGCCACAGATACGGTATCTGCCCGTATCTGCCATGTATCACTATGTATCTGAGCCCCAATAAAAAAAAACTATCTGACCAATCTGCTTTTATTTGCAAGGAGATTCAACAAATTTGGTTTTTGGCCATGCAGCTCTGCAGAATTCTCCATGATACACACAGCGTATCGTATCTGTGGCAGCGTTGCTTGTGGGCTTGTGTCAGCGCCGGTCCCTTATGTGACCAGGCGTTGATGGGGTAATGGGTCTTACTATAGCCTTGTAAGGCCAGTAGAAATAAAACCTCACCTCAACGCTAGAAAGCGGAGGGGTTAGCTCCCTGGGTTAGAGGGGACAACGGTGGAATGAGCATCACCGCGCCTGAGCTCAGAGTGGTACAATGACTCTCTTCTAGACTACAGTAGTGACTTAACTGTAGTCTAGGATAGTAGAATATAAAGGATGAAGATAAAAGGTAAAGAGAAAGGGGAGAGTGTACTGCTAAAACCCCACTCACTAATGTTAAGTAAGGTAAACGGGTTTGTATGGCAATAATCTCTGGGGGGAAGAATCCTAGAGGGAAAGCCCTCCCCCTTAAGTATTGCAAGGCAGGGTTCAAACTGCCTGTTGGACCAGACAGGTCCACAGATGATCATTTATGCATTTAAATCATAAATGATCAAAATATGTATTTAAATTATGATCACACCAAAAGTAGAGGAAATGACATCATCTCTCTCTCTGGGTGAATCAATACAGAGAGAGATAAATAATTAATCCTCATTGGTAATCATCTCTCTCATTACAGCAGATAATCAAGAGAGAGATGACTAAGCTTTTAATACATATGTATAATATTTATTTATTACATAATTATAGAATAAGATACCAAGGAAACTGGGACTTGGGTACATCCATCAAGATATACCTCATCCTTTGAAGTGGTCATCAAACTACTAAACTAAATCAACTCATGGAAATATGAGCCAATGCAGACATTTGGACATGTCCTACATGTCTTGTGGCTGACAGCTCGGATGTTAATAAATCCAATAAATCATCATTTACTAAAACTTGTAAAACATAAGTCCACTTTTTATTCTCTACTTGATCAGCTTTTTGCACTGATTACCTCCATGGGCAATCAAATCATAGCCTGGATTTTCAATTCTTTCTTGAGCTTAACCTAAGAATTCATCCAAATTCACTTGAAATGTCCAAAGGATTGAACTATGGATTATCTCCTGTATGTAAGACTATTGAGGGAAAAGAAATAGTCATTTCAGGATCATAAGGCTCAGATCTACTCACAAAAATAGCGTGTGTCAATGACCAGGGGGAGCTTGTGCCAGTTTGATTTCATTCAGGGCTTGGAGTTTGTCTTTTCTATCGCGGCTGGTTGTTCAAAGGCCGCTCGACTGCGCTTCCATGGCAGGCTGCGGCACTCCACCGCGCAAAGTGGTTGTGGCTCTCTCGAGTCGTGTCCCGAGCTGTGCCGAGTTGTCCATTCCGGACCGGCCGCCGGACAAGATGACGAGCACACTCTCACTGGCCAACCTGCAGGGTGCAGCCAACAACCAAGCTGGGAATAGCAACAACACCAATCCTATCATCGACCGGAGACGATTCGTTGGCCCTGAGACTTCCGCCCCATTCCCCGACTTCCCAACATCATCAAGCACATCAACTCACTCGACAACAAACACCGGTCGAGCTGATGGCCGCATCCACAGCGATAGTCGGCCGATATGTGAGTCGACGAGCCAATGCTGAAACCCATTCAGCTGTCTAACCACGCTTCGAAAATGAATGCGCTGCCAGGTATTAAAGTTGGCGTGATTTCTCAAGCAAACGGCAGCTGCTACATCGACATCTGGAAACTCGAAAGTCATCTGTGCTGTGTTAGTAC